TAATTATGTGTTAAAACGCCGTCACATTTGGACCTATCCGATAAAGCGTAGATTCCGAGCCAAGTACATTAAACCTTCTGTAGCGGTGCGTGCATTCAATTAAAACCAGTTAAGCTTATTTATGCTAGCTCAGGCTATTGTACTCTACATATAAGTCTCAGTTTTAAGCATTTATTCTTGTGAAAGGTAGGATAAACAAAGTGTGGATTTGAAATATTTAGTAAACCATCAAAACAAGGTTATAGAATCAGAAATATCTACACTATTTTTTCAACATGATTTTTTACTGTATACTTTGTTATACAGGCATAGTAATTGTGCCTCCTTGTCAATTGCGGCTTTTGTTTTGCCCTACTCCACTGTGCCGCTCTCTGCCGTTGTGCCAATTCTCTCCCGTTCGTGTCTTATTCGCTCAGCCATGAGTTGGATTCCCTTGGAGGCTAATCCGGAAGTAAGTTTTCTTCCCTTACATGCTCTTAGGTTATGAATGAAGTAAGTTGTTTGGTGTTTTTTATCGCCTGTTCAAGTATATCGTCAAACTTGGTGTTGAAAGCTGCTGGAGATTTTGGGATATTTACGGGCTCGATGGAGACAGTCTGAGTGTAGTGCCAAAGCCTGTTATAGCAGTTTTGCTTCTATTTCCCATGTCATCTGAGGTAGAAAAGATTCCCATAGGTCAAGAGGTCGACTGCTCCGACTTGTTTTTCATGAAACAGACAGTCAACAATTCTTGCGGTGCTGTCGCTCTATTGCATGCCTTAGTGAACAATAAATCTCGACTTACATTCACAGGTATCTACCTAAGGTCTATATTATTTTTTGATGCTTAATTGTCTCCACTTATGGTCCGAGCAATCAGTCCTCTTTAGACCCTTCCTTTCTCTGCGCCTTCATCGAGAAACTGAAGAATCTTGCTCCATCTGAGCGTGCTTCGGAAATGATGAAGCTGCCAAAACTTGATGAAATCCATGAGAATAGCGCCATGCGAGGTCAAACAAAAGCTCCTGATCCGATGGCAAGCACGAATTTACACTTCACTTGCTTTGTTCAGTCTCAAAGCAAAGTATATGAATTAGGCAAGCGCATTTTCAATTATTTGTGTTCATTTTGAGCTAACTTATACCCATACTCTTGGCTGATCTTAATCATTTAGCATAGCTTTTTCTGTTTTTTCAGATGGACGACGCAATCATCCAGTGGTACACTCGGAGACTAGTTCGGATACTTTCCTGGAAGATGTATGCTGTGTTGTCAAGCGTTTTATGTCTCGAGATCCTTCTTCTGTCAATTTCAGTCTTGTTGCTCTCTCTAGAGTCCCACAGTAATTCTTTCTCTGTGTCCAACAGATCAAGCCTTCTACTTTGCTTTGCGCCATTCCCTTGTTTTTCTGTTCTACATTCGCTTCTCATTTGTTCAAACTTTTGTTCCTATTGCTGTTTGCCATCGAATTTGGCATAAAGATAATTATTTGCTAATGGAAGATGGTCTGTTTCGTCAGTTTACCTGACATATCATAGCTTTCCAAAGGTTATTTCATTTAATCAATAAATACGCTCATTTAGCATATGATTTTAATGCTTATTTGCTTCAATTGGCCTTGGTTACTAGTTAAAGTTAATGTGAGACATGAACAATTCTTTAGCTCCCATAATCTCATAAAACTCTTCTATACGTCGTGCCAATGTATTTTATTTGGTCAATGACCATGTTTCGTCCTTCGCGGTTGTTCCTTTAGTCATCTGGCATATTTGTGACACTGATCGATATTCTGCTGTCTTGAGCTTGTATTCTCTGATATTTGGTTTCGAGGGAAAAGTGGTATGTATACCGCAATTTCCCAGAATGCCTTACTTTGATGTCTTAGTCACATCAGCCCGAATGAAGCACCCTGGAATTACTGTCAGTAAAAAACAGCCCACCTGTCTACTCACCCAACTTAGCTACATCGCGAGTCAATGGATAAATTGCCTCTATCGGCATGCTTGTTGGGCGTATTTTAGCTTCAAATTTACCTCTTGGATGTTGACTATTGGCGTGGATAATGTATTCTGTCCTTACCAATAAGTTGAGGTCAAGTAAACTTTCATTGGGCCGCTTATATGTTTTGCCTGACATTGACATGCATGTCAAGGTCGCAGAATTGCGTCAGCTTGTGCTTAGTGTGGTAAAATTTCTCAAACCGCCAATTGCTGGTCAGCGCTGTGAAGTTAGGTTTGTTGTATGCGGGTTTTCTATTTTTCGAGTGTTGTCCCTTACGCTGCTGTAACGATCATTTGCTGTCTAATTTTACGAGATATTTCTCTGGTGGACCTTCACTAATGCCATGTTAGGTCATGTTCTAACTTTTGTTTGGTTCTTCGTTGGAGCTCTAACACGCCGGTCCTATCTCTTAAGGCTTACAATCTATTATTTCTGGAATACAGGGCGTGTAAGATGTCCCGCTTAAATGTCGATGATTCTGTTGAACTTGTACGTGGAAGTGACTAAAGGACATTACTGTCTTTCCGTATCCCTATATGAAGTGTGGTGTATTCGCTTACCGTATAGGTCATGTTCTTGCGATCTAAACATTGGGTAAGCCTACACAATTTTTTTATACAACCGCTAAAACTATCTCAAGGTCGATAGCCATTCATCTTCCGCTTGTAGGTCCATTATTTTAT